CGGGTCTCTGTGTGAGTCTGTGGGTCTCTGTGTGAGTCTGTGGGTCTCTGTGTGAGTCTACGGGTCTCTGTCTGAGTCTACGGGTCTCTATGTGAGTCTGTGGGTCTCTGTGTGAGTCTATGGGTCTCTATGTGAGTCTGTGGGTATCTGTGTGAGTCTGTGGGTCTCTGTGTGTGTCTGTGGGTCTCTGTGTGAGTCTGTGGGTCTCTGTGTGAGTTTGTGGGTCGCTGTGTGAGTCTGTGGGTCTCTTTGTGAGTCTGTGGGTCTTTGTGTGAGTCTGTGGGTATCTGTGTCAGTCTGTGGGACTCCGTGTGAGTCCGTGGGTCTCTGTGTGAGTCTACGGGTCTCTGTGTGAGTCTGTGGGTCTCTGTGTGAGTCTGTGGGTCTCTGTGTGAGTCTGTGGGTCTCTGTGTGAGTCTGTGGGTCTCTGTGTGAGTCTACGGGTCTCTGTGTGAGTCTGTGGGTCTCTGTGTGAGTCTGTGGGTCTCTGTGTGAGTCTACGGGTCTCTGTCTGAGTCTACGGGTCTCTATGTGAGTCTGTGGGTCTCTGTGTGAGTCTATGGGTCTCTATGTGAGTCTGTGGGTATCTGTGTGAGTCTGTGGGTCTCTGTGTGTGTCTGTGGGTCTCTGTGTGAGTCTGTGGGTCTCTGTGTGAGTTTGTGGGTCGCTGTGTGAGTCTGTGGGTCTCTTTGTGAGTCTCTGGGTCTTTGTGTGAGTCTGTGGGTATCTGTGTCAGTCTGTGGGACTCCGTGTGAGTCCGTGGGTCTCTGTGTGAGTCTACGGGTCTCTGTGTGAGTCTATGGGTCTCTGTGTGAGTCTATGGGCCTCTATGTGAGTCTGTGGGTCTCTGTGTGAGTCTGTGGGTCTCTGTGTGAGTCTATGGGTCTCTATGTGAGTCTGTGGGTCTCTGTGTGAGTCTATGGGTCTCTGCGTGAGTCTATGGATCTCTTTGTGAGTCTATGGGTCTCTGCGTGAGTCTATAGGTCTCTATATAAAAGCGACGCCAGTCAGGACCTTGTGTCTTCAGAGCCATCACCGTTGTCATCTGTGTCACCATCTTCAAACGGGTTCCAGGGTTCATGCCCAGAGGATGGCGTGAGTGTCACCTCTGCAATGCTGCCAAAGCTGGGAAAATCATCATCACCACCATCACCATCACAATCGTTATCACCACCATCACCACCATCACCATCACAATCGTTATCACCACCATCACCACCATCACCACCACAATCGTTATCACCACCATCACCACCACAATCGTTATCACCACCATCACCACCATCACCACCACAATCGTTATCACCACCATCACCACCATCACCACCACAATCGTTATCACCACCATCACCACCATCACCACCATCACCACCACAATCGTTATCACCACCATCACCACCATCTCCACCACCACCACCATTGCCACTACCAAGTCTGACATCACCACCATCACCACCACCACCAACATTGCCACTACCACGACCGACATCACCACCACCACCACCATCGTCGCCACCACCATCGTTATCACCACCACCATCATCACCACCACCATCACCGTCACCACAACCATCGTTATCACCACCATCATCATCACCGCCATCACCACCAACAACATTGCCACTACCACCACCGACATCACTACCAACGTCACCACCACCATCGTTATCACCACCACCATCATCACCACAACAAACATTACCACCACCACCATCGTCACCTCCACCGTCATCGCCACCACCACCACCATCACCAACATTACCACTACCACCAACATTGCCACTACCACGACTGACATCACCACCACCACCAACGTCACCACCACCATCATCACCACCACCGTCACCACCACCATCGTTATCACCACCACCACCATCACCACAACCAACATTACCACTACCACCACCACCATCGTCACCTCCACCGTCATCACCACCATCACCACCACCATCACCACCACCATCACCAACATTACCACTACCACCACCAACACCACCACCATCACCACAACCACCACCCTAATCACCACCGCCATCATCACCATCATCATCACCATCATCATTTTCAGCATCACCACCACCACCATCATCATGAAAGACCCCGCATAGCCTGTAACAGACTGGTCATTGATTACTGCTATAATTATTGATTATTGTTATGATTATTGATTATTGCTATGATTATTGATGATCACTATGATTTTTGATGATTGCCATAATTATTGATTACTGCTATGAATACTGCTATGATTATTGATTGTTGATTTGATTATTGATGATTTCCATGACTATTGATTATTGATGTGATCATTGCTGATCGCTATGATGATTTATTGCTGGTTTGATTCCTGCTTTGATTATTGATGATTGCAATGATTATTGATGATGGCTATGATTATTGCTGATCGCCGTTATTATTGATGATCGCTACGGTGATTGATTACCGCTGCCATTGTTGCTGTGGCGTTGCCACAGTTACTGTGAAGGGCGGACCAGGCACCTTGAGGTTGCTTCAGGCTCGTCGGGGATGAAGAACGGATTTGTGATGTCCAGGACCTCCCCCTCCTCTACCTCCTCCTCCTCGTCCACGTCCCTGAGATCAACGCAGTCCACCACGGCGTCAAGATAACCGTTCATCACCGCCGCCGTCGATGCCAGCCGTGGTCGATCCGCTGCTCGATGGAGGCTTCCCTCGCTGCCTCTCAAATCGATCCATCCATCATCTGTCAAACTACATAGAGACCCATGGACTCACACAGAGACCCATGGACTCACACAGAGACCCGTAGACTGACACCGAGACCCATAGACTAACACAGAGACCCATAGACTCACACAGAGACCCACGACTCACACAGAGACCCACGGACTCACACAGAGACCCGTAGACTCACACAGAGACCCATAGACTCACAAAGAGACCCATAGACTGACACAGAGACCCACATACTCACACAGAGACCCGTAGACTAACACAGAGACCCACAGACTCAAACAGAGACCCACAGACTCACACAGTGACCCGTAGACTCGCACAGAGACCCACAGATTCACACAGAGACCCACAGACTCACACAGAGACCCACAGACTCACACAGAGACCCACAGACTCACACAGAGACCCGTAGACTCACACAGAGACCCATAGACTCACACAGAGGCCCACGGACTCACACAGAGACCCACGGACTCACACAGAGACCCGTAGACTCACACAGAGACCCATAGACTCACACAGAGACCCGTAGACTCACACAGAGACCCGTAGACTCACACAGAGACCCGTAGACTCACACAGAGACCCATAGACTCGCACAGAGACCCACAGACTCACACAGAGACCTAGAGACTCACACAGAGACCCACAGACTCACACAGAGACCCACAGGCTCACACAGAGGCCCACAGACTCACACAGAGACCCACAGACTCACACAGAGACCCACAGACTCACACAGAGACCCACAGGCTCACACAGAGGCCCACAGACTCACATAGAGACCCACAGACTCACACAGACTCACACAGAGACCCACAGACTCACACAGAGACCCACAGACTCACACAGAGACCCACAGACTCACACAGAGACCCACAGACTCACACAGAGACCTGTAGACTCACACAGAGACCTACAGACTCACACAGAGACCCACAGACTCACACAGAGACCCGTAGACTCACACAGAGACCCATAAACTCACACAGAGACCCATAGACTCACACAGAGACCTGTAGACTCACACAGAGACCCATAGACTCACACAGAGACCCACAGACTCACAAAGAGACCCGTAGACTCACAAAGAGACCCATAGACTCACACAGAGACCCACAGACTCACACAGAGACCGACAGACTCACACAGAAACCCGTAGACTCACACAGAGACCCATAGACTCACACAGAGACCCACAGACTCACACAGATACCCGTAGAATCACACAGAGACCCATAGACTCACACAGAGACCCGTAGACTCACACAGAGACCCGTAGACTCACAGAGAGACCCGTAGACTCACACAGAGACCCATAGACTCACACAGAGACCCACAGACTCACACAGAGACCCGTAGACTCACACAGAGACCCACAGACTCACGCAGAGACCCGTAGACTCACACAGAGACCCACAGACTCACACAGAAACCCGTAGACTCACACAGAGACCTATAGACTCACACAGAGACCCACAGATTCACACAGAGACCCACAGACTCACACAGATACCCGTAGAATCACACAGAGACCCATAGAATCACACAGAGACCCGTAGACTCACACAGAGACTCATAGACTCGCACAGAGACCCGTAGACTCACACAGAGACCCGTAGACTCACACAGAGACCCATAGACTCGCACAGAGACCCACAGACTCACACAGAGACCCATAGACTCACACAGAGACCCACAGATTCACGCAGAGACCCGTAGACTCACACAGAGACCCACAGACTCACACAGAGACCCACAGACTCACACAGATACCCGTAGAATCACACAGAGACCCATAGAATCACACAGAGACCCGTAGACTCACACAGCGACCCGTAGACTCACAGAGAGACCCATAGACTCGCACAGAGACCCGTAGACTCACACAGAGACCCGTAGACTCACACAGAGACCCATAGACTCGCACAGAGACCCACAGACTCACACAGAGACCCATAGACTCACACAGAGACCCACAGATTCACGCAGAGACCCGTAGACTCACACAGAGCCCCACAGACTCACACAGAGACCCATAAACTCACACAGAGACCCACAGACTCACACAGAGCCCCACAGACTCACACAGAGACCCACAGACTGACACCGTGGAGATGGACGGCGCCACCACCAGCGCTTGCCAGCCACACCTGGCTGGTGGCACGAGGCTGGTGGCATGAGGCTGGTGGCACCTGGCTGGTGGCACGAGGCTGGTGGCACGAGGCTGGTGGCACGAGGCTGGTGGCACGAGGCTGGTGGCACGAGGCTGGTGGCACGAGGCTGGTGGCACCTGGCTTCCTACCTGTCGCTGAACGGATTGCGGGAGTCGTGGTCGGAGTCGTCCGGCTCATGTGGTGGACTCCACTCTCCGTCGTCCTCGAGGTGGCTGCGATATTCGACGTGAACGGCAGAAGTCAGCCTCCTCTCTCCCGTCCACGCACTCACCTACCCACTCGCTCAGCCACTCACTCACCTACCTACCCACTAGCTCAGCCACGCACTCACTTACCCACTCGCTCAGCCACTCACCTACCCACTCACTCAGCCACATACTCGCTTACCTACCCACTCGCTCAGCCACTCACTGACTCACCTACCCACTCACCTACCCACTCGCTCAGCCACACACTCACCTACGTACTCACCCAGCCACTCACTGACTCACCTACCCACTCACCTACCCACTCGCTCAGCCAGGCACTCAGTTACCCACTCGCCCAGCTACTCACTCACTTACCCACTCGCTCAGCCACTCACCTACCTACTCGCCCAGCCACACACTCACTCACCTACCCACTCGCTCAGCCACACAATCACCTACGCACTTGCTCAGCCACTCACTGACTCACCTACCCACTCACCTACCCACTTGCTTAGCCACACACTCACCTACCCACTCGCTCAGCCACTCACTGGCTCACCTACCCACTCACCTACCCACTCGCTCAGCCACTCACTCACCTACGCACTTACTCAGCCACTCACTGACTCACCTACCCACTCACAAACCCACTTGCTCAGCCACACACTCACTCACCTACCTACTAACCTACCCACTCGCTCAGCCACTCACTCACCTACCCACTCGCTCAAACACTCACTGACTCACCTACCCACTCACCTACCCACTCGCTCAGCCACACACTCACCTACGTACTCACCCAGCCACTCACTGACTCACCTACCCACTCACCTACCCACTCGCTCAGCCAGGCACTCAGTTACCCACTCGCCCAGCTACTCACTCACTTACCCACTCGCTCAGCCAGTCACCTACCTACTCGCCCAGCCACACACTCACTCACCTACCCACTCGCTCAGCCACACACTCACCTACGCACTTGCTCAGCCACTCACTGACTCACCTACCCACTCACCTACCCACTTGCTTAGCCACACACTCACCTACCCACTCGCTCAGCCACTCACTGACTCACCTACCCACTCACCTACCCACTCGCTCAGCCACTCACTCACCTACGCACTTACTCAGCCACTCACTGACTCACCTACCCACTCACAAACCCACTTGCTCAGCCACACACTCACCTACCCACTCACAAACCCACTTGCTCAGCCACACACTCACCTACCCACTCGCTCAGCCACTCACTCACCTACCCACTCACTCAGCCACTCACTGACTCACCTACCCACTCGCTCAACCACTCACTGACTCACCTACCCACTCGCTCAGCCACTCACTGATTCACCTACCCACTCACCTACCCACTCGCTCAGCCACTCACTCACCTACCCACTCGCTCAGCCACTCACTGACTCACCTACCCACTCACTCACCTACCCACTCACCTACCCACTCGCTCAGCCACTCACTGACTCACCTACCCACTCGCTCAGCTACTCACTGACTCACCTACCCACTCACCTACCCACTTGCTCAGCCACACACTCACCTACCCACTCGCTCAGCCACTCACTGACTCACCTACCCACTCGCTCAGCCACACACTCACTCACCTACCCACTCGCTCAGCCACACACTCACCTACCTACTCGCTCAGCCACTCACTGACTCACCTACCCACTCACCTACCCACTCGCTCAGCCACTCACTGACTCACCTACCCACTCGCTCAGCCACTCACTGACTCACCTACCCACTCGCTCAGCCACTCACTGACTCACCTACCCACTCACTCACCTACCCACTCACCTACCCACTCGCTCAGCCACTCACTGACTCACCTACCCACTCGCTCAGCCACTCACTGACTCACCTACCCACTCGCTCAGCCACTGACTCACCTACCTGGCCCGTCATACATGGCCGGTCGTACCTGTCGCTGAACGGGTTGCGGGAGTCGTGGTCGGAGTCGTCCGGGTTGTGTGGTGGACTCCACTCTCCGTCAGAGTCGGCGTGGCTGCGGATTGACGTGAGCGGAGGTCGTCAGCCACCTCTCTCCCGTCCACGCACTCAGCTACCCACACAGCTACCCACTCAGCTACCCACACAGCTATACACTCAGCTACCCACTCACCTACCCACTCACCTACCCACTGATCTACCCACTCAGCTACCCACTCAGCTACCCGCTCAGTTATACACTCAGCTACCCACTCACCTACCCACTCAGCTACCCACTGAGCTACCCACTCAGCTACCCACACACCAACCCGTTCAACTACCAACTCAGCTACACACTCAGATACCCACTCAGCTACCCACTCATCTACCCACTGAGCTACCCACACACCAACCCACTCAGCTACCCACTCACCTACCCACGCAACCACCCACTCAGCTACCCACTCAGCTACCACTCGGCTACACACCAGGATACCCACTCAGCTACCCACTCAACCACCCACTCAGCTACCCACTCAGCTACCAACTCACCTACCCACAAACCAACCCACTCACCGACCCAGTCGCCCAGCCACTCGCTCACTCACTCGCTCAGCCGCGCACTCACCTACCCACTCACTCATCTACCCACTCACTCACAGACCCAGTCGCCCAGCCACACACTCACTCACCTACCCACTCGCTTAGCCACTCACTCACGTATCTACTGGCTCAGCCATTCACTCAATCACCTTCCCCTCTCAGTCACTCACCTACCCACTCACTCACTCACTCATCTACCCACTCACCCACATACCAACTCACTCACCTACCCACTCACTCATCTACCCACTCACTCACCTACCCATTCACTCACTTACCCACTCACTCACCTACCCGTTCACTCACCTAACTACTCACTCACCTACCCACTCACTCATCTACCCACTCACTCACCTACCCATTCACTCACCTACCCACTCACGCATCTACCCACTCACTCACCTACCCACTCACTCACCTACCCACTCACCTACCGACTCACTCACCTAGACACTCACTCACCTACCAACCACTCACTCACCTACCCACTCATTCACCTACCCACTCACTCACCTACCGACTCACTCACCTAGCAACTCACTCACCTACCCACTCACTCACTCATCTACCCACTCACTCACCTACCCACTCACTCACCTACTCATTCACTCACCTAACCACTCACTCACCTACCCACTCACTCATCTACCCACTCACTCACTCACCTACCCACTCACTCACCTACCCACTCACTCACCTAACCACTCACCTACCCACTCACTCACCTACCCACTCACTTACCCACTCACCTACCCACTCACCCACTCACCTACCCACGCACTCACCTACCCACTACTCACCTACCCACTCACTCACCTACCCACTCACTCACTCACCTACCCACTCACTCACTCACCTACCCACTCACTCACCTACCCACTCACCTACCCACTCATTCACTCACCTACCCACCCACTCACTCACCTACCCACTCACCTACCCACTCACCCACTCACCTATCCACTCATTCACTCACCTACCCACCCACTCACTCACCTACCCACTCACCTACCTACTCACCCACTCACTCACCTACCACGCACTCACTCACCTACCCACTCACCTACCTAGTCACCTACCTACTCACTCACTCACCTACCCACTCACTCACCTACCCACTCACCTACCAATTCACTCACCTACCCACTCACCCACTTACTCACCTATCTACTCACCTACCCACTCACTCACTCACCTACCCACCCACTCACTCACCTACCCACTCACTCACCCACCCACTCACCTACCCAATCACTCACCTACCCACTCACTCACCCACTCACCTACCCACGCACTCACCTACCCACTCACTCACCTACCCACTCACTCACCCACCCACTCACCTACCCACTCCCTCACCTACCCACCCACTCACTCACCTACCCACTCACCCACTCACCTATCCAATCACTCACCTACCTACTCACCCACTCACTCACCTACCACTCACTCACCTACCCACTCACTCACCTACCTAGTCACCTACCTACTCACTCACCTACCCACTCACTCACCTACCCACTCACCTACCCATTCACTCACCTACCCACTCACCCACTCACTCACCTATCTACTCACCTACCCACTCACTCACTCACCTACCCACCCACTCACTCACCTACCCACTCACTCACCCACTCACCTACCCACTCACTCACCTACTCACTCACTCACTCACCTACCCACTCACTCACCTACCCACTCACTTACCTACCCACTCACTCACTCACCTACCCACTCACCTACCCACTCACTCACCTACCCACCCACTCAATCACCTACCCACTCACCCACTCACCTATCCACTCACTCACCTACCTACTCACCCACTCACTCACCTACCAGGCACTCACTCACCTACCCACTCACTCACCTACCTAGTCACCTACCTACTCACTCACCTACCCACTCACTCACCTACCCACTCACCTACCCACTCACTCACCTACCCACTCACCCACTCACTCACCTATCTACTCACCTTCCCACTCACTCACTCACCTACCCCCTCACTCACTTATCTAATCACCTACCCATTCACCCACTCATCTATCCAATCACTCACCTACCTACTCACCCACTCACTCACCTACCACGCACTCACTCACCTACGCACTCACCTACCGAGTCACCTACCTACCCACTCACTCACCTACCCACTCACTCACCTACCTAGTCACCGACCCACTCACTCAACTACCCACTCACCTACCCACTCACTCACTCACCTACCCACTCGCTCACTCATCTACCCACTCACTCACCTACCCACTCACTCACCTACTCATTCACTCACCTAACCACTCACTCACCTACCCACTCACTCATCTACCCACTCACTCACTCACCTACCCACTCACTCACCTACCCACTCACTCACTCACCTAACCACTCACCTAACCACTCACCTACCCACTCACTCACCTACCCACTCACTCACCCACTCACCTACCCACGCACTCACCTACCCACCACTCACCTACCCACCACTCACCTACCCACTCACTCACCTACCCACTCACCTACCCACTCATTCACTCACCTACCCACCCACTCACTCACCTACCCACTCACCTACCCACTCACCCACTCACCTATCCACTCACTCACCTACCACGCACTCACTCACCTACCCACTCACTCACCTACCTAGTCACCTACCTATTCACTCACTCACCTACCCACTCACTCACCTACCCACTCACCTACCCACTCACTCACCTACCCACTCACCCACTCACCTATCTACTTACCTACCCACTCACTCACTCACCTACCCACCCACTCACTCACCTACCCACTCACTCACCCACTCACCTACCCACGCACTCACCTACCCACTCACTCACCTACCCACTCACTCACCCACCCACTCACCTACCCACTCACTCACCTACCCACTCACTCACTCACCTACCCACCCACTCACTCACCTATCCACTCACCTACCCACTCACCCACTCACCTATCCACTCACTCACCTACTCACCCACTCACTCACCTACCAGGCACTCACTCACCTACCCACTCACTCACCTACCTAGTCACCTACCCACTCACCTATCCACTCACTCACCTACCTACTCACCCACTCACTCACCTACAAGGCACTCACTCACCTACCCACTCACTCACTCACCTACCCACTCACTCACCTACCCACTCACTCACCCACTCACTCACCTATCTACTCACCTACCCACTCATTCACTCACCTACCCTCTCACTCAATCACTCACCTATCTACTCACCTACCCACTCACCCACTCACCTATCCAATCACTCACCTACCTACTCACCCACTCACTCACCTACCACGCACTCACTCACCTACCCACTCACTCACTTACCTAGTCACATACCTACCCACTCACTCACCTACCCACTCACTCACCTACCCACTCACTCACTTACCTAGTCACATACCTACCCACTCACTCACTCACCTACCCACTCACTCACCTACCCACTCACTCACGTACCTAGTCACCTACCCACTCACTCACTCAACTACCCACTCACCTACCCACTCACTCACTCACCTACCCACTCGTTCACTAACTCACCTACCTACTCACCTACCTACCCACCTACCCACTCACTCACCTACCCACTCACTCACCTACCTACTCGCTGGTGGGGGGGTGGGGGAGAGTAGCTGGTACGTGTCCGTGTGTGTTTGTTTGTCGGGTGTGGGGTGGGTGTAGGGGAGCGTCGCACCCCGAGCTGAACGGATTGTGTGACCCGCAGGAGTCGACATCCAGTCGGGAGAATCCCGATTTGCGCACCGGTTCAGATTCGCCTTCTCTGCGGATCGTCAGCAACGCTCACGTCGGACGCCGCGCTCCATCGCTAACATCATCACTAACATCATCATCATCATCGCCATCGTCATCATCGTCGTCGTCGTTGTCGTTACCACGAGCCCTACCATCATCGTTATCGCTAACATCATCATCATCATCACCACCGTCATGATCATCATCATCATCATGATCATCACTATCACCAACATCATCACAACCATCACCACCACCATCATCACCACCACCGTCATCACCACCGTCACTACCACCACCGTCATCACCACCATCACCACCACCATCACCACCACCGTCACCACCACCGTCATCACCACCACCACCACCATCACCACCGTCACTACCACCACCATCACCACCACCGTCATCACCACCACCACCGTCACTACCACCACCATCACCACCACCGTCATCACCACCATCACCACCACCAGGGGTGGGGGAGCGGAGGGAGGGAGTGGAGGGCAGGGAGGGATGGAGGGGGTTAAGGGAGGGAGGGAAGGGAAGGGAGGCAGCAGAGGAAGGAATCTGATGAGCTATAAAGCTCTTTTTTTCCACAGATGTCCAGTCGGGGGCCACACGGGATCAGAACGTTTGTTAGAGGCGCAGCTTAGAAAAAAAGTAATCAAATCACTTTAAAAAAAATACAAATTAAACTAAACTATGAATTTGATTTATCTTACCAGGTAAGGGCCCACTGAGCAATTAGCTTTATTTTTTCAGAAGCGACCCTTGCTATCGTAAGTGATGGCTCGCTCAACGAAGTGGCTGATCACGTGGGAATAAAAGCAGCAGCCAAATAGCTCTGGGCGCGTGGTGACGCTGATCCTAAAAGTGGAGTGTAAAAAAAAAACCCGGAGGAGCTGGAGAAAAATCCACGCGACCACGGGGAGAGAGAGAGAGAGACCGCAAACTCCAAATATACAGCAGCAGCAGCAGGCGTCAGGGCCAGGATGGAACCCACGACCTCCTTTAGACCAGGCGAGGTAGTTAACATCTCCTAGCCGCCGTGATGATGAGAGAAAGAGAGACACGCAAACTCCAAAATTACAGCAGACCTCAGGTTCGGGATCGAACCCACGACCTCCTGTATACCAGGCGAGGTAGTTAACATCTCCTAGCCACCGTGGTGAATGGCAGAAGTCAACTTTCGTGACCGCAGGATTTCATATTCTTTGGCTCTTCCGGTAAAGCCACGTAGACAGAAAATATAACGAAACAAGTATTGAGGTTTTCGATCGCAACACACTCGCGGAATGTGACCTCTGACCTGTCCAGGTCTTTCCACCAGCCTCGCGTGGGGGCAACCTCTGTGGAGGTCACAGCGCAGAGCTCCGCCTCCTCCCTGTCACGTGGGCAGAGTGACGTCACTCACTCAGTGGTGGTGGTGATGGAGTTGGTGGTAGTGGTGATGGTGGTGGTGGTGAAGGTGGTGGTGGTGGCAATGGTGGTGGTGGTGATGATGAAGGTGGTGGTGATAGTGGTAGTGATGAAGGTGGTGATGGTAATGGTGGTGGTGATGAGGGTGGTGGTGATTGTGATGATGAAGGTGGTGGTGATAGTGGTAGTGATGAAGGTGGTGGTAGTAATGGTGGTGGTGGTGATGAGGGTGGTGATGGTGGTGATGGTGATAGTGGTGGTGATGAAGGTGATGATGAAGGTGGTGATGATAATGGTGGTGGTGGTGGTGATGGTGGTGGTGATGAGGGTGGTGGTGGTGATGGTGGTGGTGATGAAGGTGATGATGAAGGTGGTGGTGATAGTGGTGGTGATGAAGGTTGTGGTGGTGGTGGTAATGGTGGTGATGAGGATGGTGGTGATGTTGGTAATGATAGTGTTGATGAAGGTGGTGGTGGTGATGAAGGTGGTGGTTATGAAGGTGGTGGTCGTGGTGATGAAGGTGGTGGTGATAGTGGTGGTGATGAAGGTAGTGGTGGTGGTGATGGTGGTGATGATAGTGTTGATGAAGGTAGTGGTGGTGGTGGTGGTGGTAATGATGGTGGTGATGAAGGTGGTGGTTATGAAGGTGGTGGTGGTCGTGGTGATGAAGGTGGTGGTGGTGGTGGTGATGAAGGTGATGGTGGTGGTGATGAAGGTGGTGGTGGTAGTGATGAAGGTGGTGGTTGTGGTGATGAAGGTGGTGGTGGTGATGATGGTAATGTTGGTGGTGGTGACGGTAGTGATGGTAGTGATGGTGATAAAGATGGTGGTGGTGAAGGTGGTGGTGGTGATGAAGGTGGTGGTGGTGGTGGTGGTGACGGTGGTGGTGGTGGTGGTGACGGTGGTGGTGGCGGTGGTGACGGTGGTGGTGATGGTGGTGATGAAGGTGGTGGTGGTGACGGTTGTGGTGGTGGTGATAAAGGTGGTGATGGTGGTAGTGAAGGTGGTGGCAGTGGTGGTGGTGATGGTGGTGGTGGTGATGGTGGTGTTGAAGGTGGTGGTAGTGGTGGTGGTGATGGTGGTGGTGGTGATGAAGGTGGTGGTGGTGGTGGTGGTGATGGTGGTGGTGAAGGTGGTGGTGGTGGTGTTGGTGATGGTGGTGGTGAAGGTGGTGGTGGTGATGGTGGTGGTGAAGGTGGTGGTGGTGATGAAGGTGGTGGTGGTGACGGTTGTAGTGGTGGTGGTGGTGATAAAGGTGGTGATGGTGGTGGTGGTGATGGTGGTGGTGATGATGCAACAGGGTGATGTGCAGCCATCATGACGTCACCTGCTGACCCCTAGACGACCCCGCCGCTCACGTGACCTCCGCGCGCGCAGCCACAGCGCGAGCATCACCAGGGCGAGTACCCCCAGCCAGAAGGTCACCATAGCAACCAGCACCACGTGACTCCTCACGGCTACACACAGCACCAGCGACATCACCACGGCAACCAGCACCACGTGACTCCTCACCGCTACACACAGCACCAGCGACATCACCACGGCAACCAGCACCACGTGACTCCTCACCGCTACACACAGCAGCAGCGGCATCACCACGGCAACCAGCACCACGTGACTCCTCACCGCTACACACAGCACCAGCGGCATCACCACGGCAACCAGCACCACGTGACTCCTCACGGCTACACACAGCACCAGCGGCATCACCACGGCAACCAGCACCACGTGACTCCTCACCGCTACACACAGCACCAGCGACATCACCACGGCAACCAGCACCACGTGACTCCTCACCGCTACACACAGCACCAGCGGCATCACCACGGCAACCAGCACCACGTGACTCCTCACCGCTACACACAGCAGCAGCGGCATCACCACGGCAACCAGCACCACGTGACTCCTCACGGCTACACACAGCACCAGCGGCATCACCACGGCAACCAGCACCACGTGACTCCTCACCGCTACACACAGCACCAGCGACATCACCACGGCAACCAGCACCACGTGACTCCTCACCGCTACACACAGCAGCAGCGGCATCACCACGGCAACCAGCACCACGTGACTCCTCATTACACATCCTCACCAACCCCACACCCCACACCCACCCCACCCACAACAAGACAAAGATCCCCCGTGTAGCCTTAACAGACTGTAGAGGCAAGTGCTGTGAGCGAGTAGCAGCGCCTGTGAAGGCTACCGGCACTGTGGCACACGAGGGGGTGGGTGGCCAACACAGATTGCACCAGGTACTTATTTGAGGCTGAGTCGATCTAGGGGAGTCCCAGGACCGGTTCAGATAATCGTTACTGGTGTTGGCCGTGAGCAGGAATCGAACCCAGGTCGCCGGGTTCGTAGCGCAGCGCGCTAAGCACTACACTACCGCTCCCCACACACACACACTGACCACACACACTCACCACACACTCACCACACACTCACCACACACACTCACCACACACACTCACCACACACACTCACCCCACACTCACCACACACACTCACCACACACACTCACCACACACACTCAACACACAAACTCAACACACACCACTCACGCTCACCACTCACGCTCACCACTCACACTCACCACACACTACACTCACCACACACTCACCACACACACTCACCACAACACTCACCACACACACTCACCACACACACTCACCACACACTCACCACACTCACCACACACACTCACCACAACACTCACCACACACACTCACCACACACTCACCACACACACTCAACACACACACACTCACCACACACACTCACCACACACTCACCACACACACTCAACACACACACTCACCACACACATTCACCACAACACTCACCCCACACACTCACCACACACACTCAACACAAACACTCAAGACACACTCACCACACACACTCACCACACACTCACCACACACACTCACCACAACACTCACCACACACACTCACCACACACTCACCACACACACCACAACACTCACCACACACACTCACCACACACTCACCACACACACTAAACACACACACACACACACTCACCACACACACTCACCACACACTCACCACACACACTCACCACACACACTCAACACAAACACTCAACACGCACTCACCACACACACTCACCACACACACTCACCACACACACTAAACACACACACACACACTCACCACACACACTCACCACACACTCACCACACACACTCAACACACACACTCACCACACACACACTCACCACACACACTCACCACACACACACTCACCACACACACACTCACCACACACACGCTCACCACACACTCAACACACACACACTCAACACACACACTCACCACACACACTCACCACACACTCACCACACACACAACACTGACTACACACACTCACCACACACCACACACACTCAACACAAACACTCAACACACACTCACCACACACACTCACCACACACACTCACCACACACACACTCACCACACACACTCACCACACACACTCACCACACACACACACTCACCACACACACACTCACCACACACACGCTCACCACACACTCACCACACACACTCACCACAACACTCACCACACACACTCACCACACACACTCACCACAACACTCACCACACACACTCACCACACACACTCACCACACACTCGCCACACTCACCACACACACTCACCACACACTCACCACACACACTCAACACACACACGCACACTCACCACACACACTCACCACAC